AGTTTAAATAACATGATGAAACAATGAAAACAGGGAGCTGCGAAACTCCTATAACTCAGCTAAAGTCCGCGATCGTTAAGAAAAGACAGATCCGATTTCTGACGTGGGGTTAATGGCCTTGAGTCTAAAGATCAACGGCCAGTTGCCCAAAAGCAGAGGTTTTGTTGACAGCTTATGCAAGACCAGATTCTAGTTGACATCAATTGGCACTCAGCTACAAAGGGTGCCGTCGTATTAAACCCGCGAGGGTGGTGAAACGGCAAATTATCTGTGGGGTGGAAAAATATTGTTTAAATACGAAAAGTATCTAAAGTGATATGACAGTCGGAAAATACCTAAGATCCGTCCCAAAATAAATACGCGAAACTTCTGCTGAGCGCAATATATAACAGCTCACTTTGAGCGTTCAAAATAAACATAAGCAAGCATCGGATGCTAATTAAACCTGCCTGTTGTGGCCGTAATGCATGTGTTCAAAACCTCACGGAGGGAACTCAAACGAAAATTTCCGGCATACCTAATATTATCTAAAAGGCATATGGCAATTAGGAGCTGGAAGTTCTGGGAATTGAGAGTAAGTCCAACGCGCCATTGGGGTTGACGTTCTATGATCTGGCGACAGGCTTAGGCCATGTCCTTTAAGATAGGGAATTGGTCAAGATACAGTAATAAGGCATTGCTTTCCCGGAATAAATTTAAGGAAGGCAAAAGCGACGATATGCGCAGAATTTTTTGACCTCATAGAATGGGCGGCCTCTTATTCAACGGCGTATGGTCGTTGCCTATTAATAAGTTCCGCGCACTGCAGTTTTGCTCACACTTGACCTGTTCTCACAGCCTTGCCTAAATAAATTCCGTCCCTTTCTCGTAATCATGCGCACCCACATATCAGACGGACGGACGGTTCATGCTTTATGTACCTATCATGTTTCCTCCCTCTAGGTCGATATTTAATTGGACAATTCTAGTCTTATTAATAGGCAATGACCGTACGTAGTTGAAT